TGCACAAGGAGCTCCTTACTATTGGCAGTCTAGTCAACTGCACTCACCCAAAGGTCATTGAGACTTTTTCCAGTCACCACCCATCTGTACTGAGCCCATTAAAGATTGTCTTATTGTTAAAAAATCTTTGAAATCACCCAAGAAAAAGATGGCCACCTTGCCACAGGCATTTAAGTAAGGAGAAGATATGTTTTCTCTTTCCTTCCTTCCTACGCAGTGCCACAGAGACCAGCTCAAAGAAAGAATGCATGGGAAACCGGCAACCCCTCCCCCTTCTGCTGACCAAGCCTCCTGAGCTTCATGCGGACACATGCTTGAAGGTCCTGCAAACATGTCCGTGGGGATTAGGGAGGAGGGGTGGGATTCTAAATCAGATGAAAAAGTTTTAATACTAACAAAAAAGAGTCTTAAAAACCAAATAAACTATTATAATAATAGATGCAACTAAAAGGTTATAGAAGCAAAATGAAATGGCTTTCAAGGGACCCTGCTTTAGCGGGTGGCTCTTCCACACCCAATTGTTAGAGAAAAGTAGGAAAACTAAACTCATCTACTACCATAATAGATTAAGCCAAATAGGCAAACCCATTTACTTAAATTAACAGCAGAATTGCAGAGTGATGTGTATGATGACAGATGCACAAATATTATAACCAGGAATGAAGGAATGAACCCTGTCTAAAGGCTCAGAGAATATCAGTTGACCTATAAACTAAAAGAGCATAAAGGACATGCAGTTGAGGGGAGTAGGATGTGCAAAGAGCCAGAGGTATAAATAGTCTTGTGTATTTTGAAAACTAAGCAAAAGTAAAACAAAATATGCAAGGAAAAATTACAAAGAGGCTAACACATAAGGTCTATGTTAGGCAGCATCACTTGTTATCTAAGAGAGACCAACACTAATGGGTAAAGATTGACAGGTGAAGATTTGATGGGTAAAGATTGACGAGACTGGACATTTGGGAGACTTAGTCATATTCACCCTTTAGAGATTATCTTTGGCTTCATCGCTACTGCCTGAATTCAGTCCTTCAGGATACAAGCACCCTCCTTGACAGCACAGCAAAAATATGTCTCGTTTTGTTTAGCACAATTATTAATGGTGTTCCTTTCCTGCCTCAAAAGTGTGTCGATCCGGACAATAAATTATAGTCTCTCTACTTGTGAGTGTCCTTGTCTCTAGTCTTGAATGTCTTAAACCCCATCCTCTAATCCTCTCATTGCTATCACTGGGGATTTTGGAGAGAGACTTGGGGGAGAAAGTTGGCAGGATCTCTGTATTAACGTGGGGTGAAGGAGATGAAGGAGTTGAACATAATGCACAGAAATCTGACTTGGGAACTGATGATTAATTAGCAGAAAGAGATTTGCCAGCTGAAGGTCACTTGAGGGTTTGTGATGATAGTTACCCTGGGAGCAACTTTGGATTTCCTTTCAGGGATCAAATATAGCACTTTGACCTACAAGAAAAAGGATAGGGAACAA